CTTCTGTAGCCCTAGCAACCCTCAGTTCTTTGGCAACCTCCACATAGCACCTGTCTTTCCCTCATTTGTGCTTGCCTGTCTCTACTCTCCTCTTTACATCACTCAGAAGTGGTTGGGTTTAGAACCCACCTAACACTGACATGACCTCATTAACACAACAAAGAAAACCTGTGAAGGGGACATGGGGCTGCGTCCTCTGACCTCCCCTGACTTCACAAGGGGGAGAGAGAAGAGTCAGCAACAACAGCCCAAGGCTGATTCCTATGACGGGGAGGTCAGACATGCCACCCCCGTCCAGCCTTCCACGGCACTCACCACCTCTCTGCTGGGTTTGATAATTCATTGCAATGGCCACACAGAGCTCACAGACAATACTCACAATTACAGGGTTTACTAGGGAAGTAACAGGCTGCAGTCCAGGTTCAGGGAGGCACTCTGGACACAGTTCATCAGTCAGGACAGCTTCTTCTCAGCCATGCCCACAGCACCGCTCTCTCTGCCCTCGGCCTCTTGGCCTCTGCTCTGCTCTGGCAAGTCTTACAAAGCTTTCAGCTCTGCCGACGGGAGCACCCCACTCGCCAGCAAGCCTCCTGCCCCAAGGCACTCACTCTACTTCCTTGCTCCGTGGGCGGGCAAGCCCACCGCTCTGTCTCCTGCTGGTCTCTGGGTTCTGCTGCTGCCATCTGTGTCGTCTCTCTGCCATCATCTCCACCCAGGGAGCTTGGGTCCAAGGATGCCCTCCACTCCTGTCTTTTCCTTCTTGACGGCAGTGAGCACCCCCTTCTGCCTCTGGAATGGCTCATTCTAAACCTAGCAGAATGACAAAACTGACCAATCTCCGCATTAGGGTTCCATACACTTTATTGGCATGATCCCACCCCCATAAAGGGAGCTCTGTACCGAAGGCACTTGACTGCTAACCAGAAGGCTGGAGGTTCAAACTCACCAGCTGCTCCTCAGAAGGAAGACTGGGCAATCTACTTCCATAGAGATGCTGCCTCGGAAACCCAAGGAGAGGTCACTATGAGTCGAATTCAACTCGATGGCAATGAGTTTGTTTGTTTGCTTGGTTTGGTTTACCCCCACAATGGCACCATGTACTTTATTGATGGTATTTATGGTATTAACAAGCTATCCTATTCCCACAAAGTACCTCACTTTTATGAGGTTCCACCCAGTCACCTGGTGGGAGTCAAAAAGACCATGGCTAGAAGAGTCACATCAATTCACTGCATCCGAAACCGTTTCCAAACAGGACTCTGCATTCACAGCTGTAGGGCTTAGGGTCCAGCCCACTTTGGAGCGACATAATTCAAACCACAGGCCTGAGCTCCTGGGAACTGAATGTGTTCATTTACCAAGGGACTTTGCAGACGTAATTAAAGTATGGGTTTAAGTAAGATAGGAATTACCCCCAATGAGCCTGACGTAATCACCAAAAAAAGAAAGAAAAACGAAACCTGATCTCAATGCCATACGTGTCAGAGTAGAGCTGCCCCATAGGATTCTCAATGACTAGGATCTTTCAGGGGAGCTCTGGTGGTGCAGGGCCTGAGGCATCTGACTGCTAACCAGAAGGCTGGCGGTTCAAACCCACCAGCCACCCCTCGGAAGGAAGGTTGGGCAATCTACTTCC